TTAACAGCAGAGATGCAGACTCACTCTCCTCTGCATGGAAATCACTCTTTGACAACCCCTTAAACTAAATAGACCAATTCACCCTTGCCGTGTGTAACTATTAGTGCTTTTTTACTTGTCACGTTTATTTTCCAATTCTGCTTTCCAATTGCAGCCCCTTTGCCGTCTATGGTCGTTCGCACACCTCTTCTTACTGTATCGTTAACTATTTACGGCGTCAACTATGATGTCACTCCCCATTAACCCCCTATCGTGATAGTGCATCTTCTTTACGTAGTGTGCTTACTTTACAATTTATTCCCCAACCTTAGCGAGTATCCCATCATGAACCTGTATATCAGCAGTACTTACACTATAAAATAAAATAAAAAACTCTTCAAACCTTTAACCGGAGTGCTTCTATTTTTAGAATTGCTAACGTTTTCGTCGCCCCTCCTGGGCTCTTCTTCAGGCTATAACAAATGGGCCTTTAATATTCAAATAAACATTCGATATGAATCTCTTCCGAATTCGATCATTTGAAATTGTTTCGAAGTTGTGTTGCGCATGCTCCATATTCATCCCTTTAAATGCTGTTATCTATCAAAATCTCTTCTGAATTCTATCTTTGTATTGCGCATGCTCCATACTCACCTCTTTAAATGCTGTTATCCAGCAAAATCTTCCATGCTATCGATAGGGCCATTTCCTCTTTATAATTAATACACGTGCCATTTCTTTCCGCTTTAAATATCTCTATGGTCTCTAGCCATTTTAGTTGTTGAGGGTTGGAGTTGGTTTTAATAATTTTTGCCGCGCGCAGGTCCGCCGTTATTTCCTGTTCCGAAGCATATGTTGCCAGGGCCGTTGTGTATCTACCGTGCTGTATATCTGACTCATGTTCTTTTAACCTCACTTTTAACGAATGCTTCATGGAACCAATATATGTCAGTTGTCTATCATATCTTTTGTCTTCTAGTGGTACTGCGTATACTCCTGGGAGTCTTTCAGGGTTAGGTCGGTCTTTGCCATTAGCTAGTATCCTGAAGACAGTTTGACACCTTCTGTATGCTATATTTATGTCTCTTCTTTTGGCTATCTTGTTGTAGACTGATTTCAGTATTGGATTATATGTTATAGGTATCCTCTCATTTTCTTGATCAGGTATATTTAATGGTGGCCCTGCCTGATCAATGGCTTTTTGGGAAACATCATACCTTTTAGATAAATTTTTGACTAGAGTGTTGTATCCATGAGCTACAGCAATATCCCCTATATGTTGGAGTTCCTTTGTTAGAGCTTGTTGCGTCGAGGAGTGCGTGTGTGCACTTCTCACTAATGCTCTGAAAGCGGCGATTTTGTATGAGATAGGGTCGCACGAACTTCTTGGAATATATGTTGGGAAGGTGCTAGGTTTTCGGTGTACAGATGTAAGTATGTTAGCTCCCCCGAAGTTGATATCAATGTCCAAGAAATGCACCCTCGAAGAGTCATGCTGTTCTACTTCTAATGATAGCCTATATGGATTGTTATTCATGTCTTCTAGGAAGAGTTTTATGTCTGGTTCCACCTTCCAAAATATAACAATGTCGTCAATATATCGTTTATATAACAAGATATTGTGCAAAAAACGTGGTAGGACGTTGTTTTCCAATCTTCTGATTACCATTTCGCACAAATCACCCGATAACGGGCTACCCATCGGGACTCCTTTCTCTTGCAAGTACGTTTTCCCATTAAATTGGAAAAGAGAGCTATAGTATACCAAATGTACTAGCTCAAGAATCTGTTGGTGCATTGTGGTGTCCTCAACTGTCGAAAACAGATAGTTTCTGAGCTCACAAAAACACGGTGGTAGTTCTATTGAAGGAAATAACGAACGGAAGTCCAAAACTGTAGCATAAGCTGGCCGTGCCATCTTCTTCAATTGTTCTACAAGTTCTGCTGGGTTAGATGTATTGAATTGGTACCCTTCCTAGACAACTGACATATATTGGTTCCACGAAGCGTTCATTAAAAGTGAGGTTAAAAGAACATGAGTCAGATATACAGCACGGTAGATACACAACGGCCCTGGCAACATATGCTTCGGAACAGGAAATAATGGCAGGCCTGCGCACGGCAAAAATCATTAAAACCAACTCCAACCATCAACAATTAAAATGGCTAGAGGCCATGGAGATATTTAAGGCGGGAAGAAACGGCACATGTATTAATTATAAAGAGGAAATGGCCCTATCGATAGCATGGAAGATTTTGCTGGATAACAGCGTTTAAAGAGGTGAGTATGGAGCATGCGCAATACAAAGATAGAATTTGGAAGAGATTTTGATAGATAATAGTGTTTAAAGGGATGAATATGGAGCATGCGCAACACAACTTCGGAACAATTTCAAATGATCGAATTCGGAAGAGATTCATATCGAATGTTTATTTGAATATTAAAGGCCCATTTGTTATAGCCTGAAGAAGAGCCCAGGAGGGGCGACGAAAACGTTAGCAATTCTAAAAATAGAAGCACTCCGGTTAAAGGTTTGAAGAGTTTTTTATTTTATTTTATTTAAACACCGGTGTGTAGAGAGATTGTACTTACACTAATGTCGTTTAGGCCTAACGGTTAGCAGAGACAAAGCGATTTTGTTTTTCTCTTGAGCAATTTGGTTTTTTTGGAGGGGAGTCAGCATAGCAGGACGTATCACACTACGATCTTGTCTGAGGTGGACTTGAATTTGAGCTACTGACCCTACTTCAGATTGGGTCATTGCTGGGTCAGACAATCCCTTTAAAACTGAAGGGACGAGAACCCCAGACAATTTTTCGAGTGTTTCTCAATCAAGTTGGAAGAAAGCTAGAGTTCCCTTGGAAGGTGTTTTAGTGTTGATTTTATTTAAAATTTTTAAATCTTTGCCAAGATGTCAAGAAATGATTTTACACTTTCAAGTAAAATTGCCTTGCTGGATAAAATTAAAAGCCAGCCATTGAATACAAGCCATCGTAGTGTGACCAAACGTCGGCACCTCTAGTGCCTTGTCAGAACTGACACCACTGTGTCCCAATTGACACAGAAGCTGAGATGGCATGTTGATTTGGTATTAGAACGTTAGTCACGCAAGCGACTGCGTGTGCAGGCAATTGAACCTCGGATGGAGATGGGTTGAGAGACAGCACACCGGAAGTAAAGTACTCAGATATGAGAGTTAACAACTAAATAACCATTTAATAATTACAAAAGAAAGGTTACAAGATACATATCATAATATCAGATTAACTGACCTATTTAACAGAGTGATTGCGATAGAGAGAGAATTCACAAGATACGCACGGGAATAAATACCTTGTAGAAAATCTTGGTTACAATGTTCTGAGGGTAGAGGATCCTGTAGGAGATATTGATCTGATGCGAGCCGGTTGGGTGGACAGGAAGAACATTCTGGTGGACAGTTCTTATTCCGACAATAGATGTGTACAAATAGATATTATGGCCGTATGCGAGGAGGTATCTGAAAATGATGTATCCCAAGGAGCACAGGGTATCCACAAATTAGAACATAAGTGATTCGATCAAGGAACTGGCAACAACTGACCATATCAGCACAATATCGCCTGTCTAAGAGGTCAGCAGATTACAGGAATGCGTCATTTTCGCTGTCAAGAAAGTTTAAGTGGAGATTTTCTCAGGTAGTAGATTCGACAATATTTAAAATACGATATTTACAATCCCTAATTTTTAGAGAATTTTTGTTCAGATGATATTTACAATGCTGACAAAACTGGCCTCTATTATTGAATAATTATTGAATAAGTATGATGATATTGATGATATATTGGATTCTCACAGTAGACTTGCTGATATAACTGGTGTACCAAAATCTACCATTGCGTGTCTCCTACAACAAGAAAATCAACTGCATGAAGAGTGAGCATTACAAAAAGAAATTCCAGGAACATCTAAAAGAAAGCATGATGGAAAAGATCCAGAAGTTGAAGAAGCATTATATTGATGGTTTTCTATGGTTAGTGGACAAGGTATAAATATCAGTGGTCCAATGTTGAAGACAAAGTCAGAGAAGATTGCTAAAAAGCTAAGCCACAATGATTTTCAAGCAACTAATAGGTTGGTTGTCTTGATCTAAAGTGAGACACAATATTAAGTACAAAAAAGTACATGGTGAAAAGGGCAGTGCAGATAATGTAAGTGCTGAACAGTGGAAAAAAACTAAAATCCCTAATTTTTAGAGAATTTTTGTTCAGATGATATTTACAATGCTGACAAAACTGGCCTCTATTATTGTGCTATGCCAGATCCCTGTGTTATAAGCACATTGCATTGTCAGGGTATAAGAGAGCAATGGACCCTGCATTACTGTGTTATTCTGTGCAAATATGACAGGTGCCGACAAACGAAAAGTGCTAAGCCTTGATGCTTTAAGGGGATAAGAATAGAGAGTTTACCAGTAGAGTACCATGTCAACAGTAATGTGTGGATGAAATTTTTCAGAAGTGGCTTATGAGTTGGAACATAGAGTTACAATGTAAGCAAAGGAAAATTTTGTTGCTTCTCGATAATTGTGCTGCATATTTTCATTTAGATAATCTCAAAAATATATGGCTGGAATTTCTTCCTCCTAATACAAAATCTTAGTGCAACCAATGGACATGGGGGTAATAAAAAATTTAAAGACATTGTATTGAGGAAAATTGGTAAATTACATACTGGAATATATTGAAGAAAACTAATGACAAATTCTCAAACTAAATTATAATGTCAAATGAAACTGATAAACATAAAATAACATTTGGACTTAACTCCTCACAAATAATGTATATCATCATGGCCAACTCATTTTATTTCAGTAACTGCTGAGTCACTTTCTTCTTGCTTGGAGTTGCTATTCTCACTTATATACTCACTTTTGAAGTCACTTTCTGTTTTGAGGCCTGAAATTTTAATTTAAAATCTTTTTCACTTTTATTAATATATTATTATAATAGTTATTGTAAAATTCATTTTAATTTTACAGGAAAAATTAGCAGAAAAACTTTCTGAACAACAGGAAATTGAAAATAAAATAAAAAAGATGAAAGAGGATGAAGATATGTTACAACCACAATATAATGAAGCAAGAAGTCAGTTAGCTCAGGAAAACAGATTGTTAAATAATAAAAAGGCAAGTAAATAGAAATTAAATTTTTGAATGATGTGAGATAAATATAATATTTCTGTCTAATAATTTATAATATAATTTAGCATGTTTTAATAAAAGTGTAGTATATCATTCCTTAATTTGTTATAAAAATTGTATAGTAATGTATTGTAGTCTATTAACAAAATAGATAATTTTATACAAGCAAAGTAATTTTTGGTAGTAGTAGTAGTAGTAAGAAAATAGAAAAACAGTACATTGTAGAAGCTGCTGCAGGTTGAACCAATATTCCAATAAAATAACTGATAGAAGAATATAAGAATATTCAGAAACATCTAAAGCAGTGTTTCTCAACCTCTAACGAATCATTGCCCCCTTCAATAAAACCGTTACGTAGTATCATCCCCTTCACTACAAAATTCCAATGCCAAGGGCCAAGACTAACGCCAAATTCGTATTGCATCGAATAGAATAGTGACTAGCATAATGTTATTTGTTTAATTATTGTATGATGTAACGAGTAAAATATCTAATTATTCTTAATATAATGTTTTACTATATCGCCCAGAAAATTGTTTTTCACCCCCAAAATATAAATTGTTACTAATCGCCTCCTCAACATGGAAAAACGCTCACATGGGGGCGATATTGCCCATGTTGAGAAACACTGATCTAAAGCATAAAATTAAAAGGTGATTTTATGAGTTTGATTTAAATGTGAACATAATTTAAGTCATTCTGTTGCAAATTGGAATAATGAAATGCATATGTTTGAGTTATGAACTATAGGTAACATTGTAGAGGAAACTGTAAATGTCAGAAATAGTAATATAAATTTTTATGCATTGGATAACATTAAATCAAAAAGAGAACAATTTTTTAAATTACTTAAATTTTTAAATAAATTTTATTCAATCTACTCAAATCAGAATTACTTATTTCAACCTTTGTGTATATTCAATTATTCAATGCTTATTTTTAAAGTTGCAAATAAAAAGACTAAAAGTAGTTTTTACTAAAACTACATTGTTTTATTTTTTAAACTTTGTACTAACTTGCTTTACTAGTTTTAGTTTGAACTGAATTGCAAGTATTTCTTTATACTCAGTTGTAAATAAATAAAGCAAATTATATACAGGTAGCCCTTGGTTTACGCTGGCTCAATTTACACCAATTCACAATAATGCCGCTGTGCAATTTGCCATTTTGCGGTGTAATTCCCCAATTTTCCCTATGCCAGACTGAGTTTCGTTTCAGTGTCGATGTATTTACTGAGCCACAACATTGTACATTCGTTAAAACAAAGATTTTTATTGAATATGTTTATTTTTTCTGTTTAGGCCTAATATTATTGGGTTTGCATTAAATTAAAATTAAAATACTAAACGTTTATGGTTCCGATGAGTCAAGTTATTAAACTTAATAGTCCAATAAATGTCGTCCAAATCCAGAGCGCTAATAAATGCGAATAGTTTGTATCCCATATCAGTTCGTTCAGGAAAACACCTTATGATGCAGTAACACTTCTGGCAATCACAAATTATCGTTAGTGAGACGAAATCTACTTCTCATTGGCCAGACAATATCTGCTTCTTGTCAGTTAGATGATATCTAACTCTCTTTAGCGAGACGGAACCAACTTAAAGTTTTCCGCCCAAACTGACCTTATATATGCGCTATGGCAGTTGACCAATCAGTGTCTGCTAGTCTGTAGCTCTATTTTGGGTTAGCGTATCCTTTCAACTGTGGAAAGTTTGATGGATGAACTTTGTGAGTTAAATAATGATTGGGAGCAAAGTGCAAATGTAAAAAGGAGCATTATTGCATTCATTCGACCATATTCTGAAATTATTAATGAAAGAAAACAAAAATCTAAACAATTACAATTGGATACTTTTTCCAAAAAAATGTAAGAGATCCGAAACTTTCAAATATAATTTATTTTTCTTAAGATTTTTTAATAAAAGCATTTCATTTTATTTTATCATAAAATACATTTTTTAAAATTAAATTTATAATATATGTATTTTGTATTATATTGTATTAATAAACAAAATTATTTGCTCATTTTTCACTTATGTAGAACCTAAAACCCTATACCTCACTGTAAATATGGGTTTGTTTTATGCCGATTCAATTTGCGCTGGCTTTTGTAGGAACGGAACTGCGGCGTAAATAGAGGGCTACCTGTACTAGTTTATATGAATAAAAAACTTAGTAACAAAAACCAAAATTTATATTTTTTCCATAATACTACTGCTGATAAAGTTTGTAAAAAAATGCGTATGTTTTTAGTAATGTAATGTCTGTTAAAAAATAATTTGGAAAAATTGATATAGAATAAGCAATATAAAAGATTAATTAAAAAAACTTATACAAATATCATTTAAAAAACAGTTAGAACTGAGGAAAGTTGAAAAAGAAATATCTTCCTTGGAGAAGGAAATAACAGGCTTGAAAACAAGAATTGAAGAATTAAGAAAAGGGTAAGTATTTAATAACCTTAGTGATTAAAGAGTGACTTAATAATTTTAAAAATAAAAAGTTCTTAAAAAGAGAGGAAAAATAAACTATATTGTTATAATTTTAACAAAAAATTTGTTATCCTATATTTGTGATTATATGAATAGTATTTTCATATTCTTTCTAAAAATATGGTTTAAAACAATTTTATAAAATTCAATTATTTAAAATTTTCTTAATAAATATAAAATAATTCTAAATGTTTAAAATTTAATTACAACTTGGCATTCAAATTCCTGTTACAACAAATGATGATTTTTAATACTCAATGCAATATTCAAATTGAATAATCCTGGTATTACTAATTTTGTTAATGTGTATTTGTGAAAAATGCAAAAGTTGTAGCTAGTAAAAGCGTGAAGAAGAGTGCAACCTTGTTTTCGGTGTCTAGTTCATATATTTTAATGGCATTGTGTATGTTGTAGAGCAATTGTGTAGTTTAGTGATATGTTTATCACAAAATTTTAGTGAAATCTAACCTTTAATAGTTTATTACTATAGATTTACTGCTGTAATAAACTAATATGTCAGGTCATTCCATAAATAGTGTCTGTTTGCATGTCCATGAAAATAATGCCATACAATACAATTGGTGAACTACATCAAGGTTGCAATACTAGTGCTAATACAATGAACTACACCAAGGTTGCAATACTAGTGCTGGATAGGACAGTTCATTGTGTACATGTGTACAGAGTGTGATTGATGTACAGCAAGTTGTGTGTTGGTGACGTGTTTAACTTAACACCCATTGACGAGATAACTCGTCAAGTTTACATAGCGTTATGAAAAACGCGGTCCTTAAGGCCATTTTTGACAAAAAAAATTTTTTTTTTTCAACTTTTGGAATGTTTTTTAAGTCTCCAAATTTTTGCAAAAATTTTTGCCCGTGCAAAAAAATTTTATCGCGATTTTAATGAGCCTTTGATAAGGCTCGATTAAGGCTTAATTGTTTTTTAATGGGAGTTTTTTATCAAATTTATTTCATTGTTCCTAAGTTGTAGTGCACGGATTTTCCTTCGGTAAAGTTATTTAAAGCTAGTTTCTGATGTCAAAAACGACCTCCGATAGTTTTTTAATTTTTTTAATTAATAGATTTTATTATATATAAATTTAATTAATTAGGGGGGGTCGGAAATCGCAATTAAAATCTTAATTTTTTAAAAATATAGGCGTTGCTCATATTCACCCTACTTTAAACCCTTGTCCTCCTGCTACGTCTATGAGAATGCCCCGGGAAATCCGACTCCAGCTGTTCTCAAGGTCATCCAGCTGTGTAAACAATGACTCATCGGTGTTAAATTTCGCAGAAAGGCGAGACAAAGAAACTTAAACTTTGAAGCTTTTTTTTCAAAATAAATGCATTTCTTTTGTTTTTTTTCAGTTTTAAGTATTTTTTTATGTATTTTTTTTGGCTTAATTACATCATAATTAATAACAGGTGGTCGTTAATGGGTTAAGAATCAGTATCTAAACTGAATCTCAACTTGTCACTGAAGAGAACATGGGCCCACTGATTCTGGGTCCAGGACTGATGTTCATTACACCAATTTAAGCAGGCTTTCTTGCAAAAAAATGCAAAAGGAATACATGCCACTGGTTGTCTTACATGAAGTCTACCCTCCTGAAGCCTTCAATAAACAGTTTACTTTGAAACAGTCACTCCAGAGGCCTCTAAGAGCTCACTGGAGAGCTTAGCATCTGTCATCTCCCTATGATGCTTAGCAGTCACAACCTGATAGCAGTCTTCTTGAGTTGTGGTTGATCTTTTTCACTTTTGTCCTGGTCTTCTGGAGCAGGTTTCATTTTCTTAGAATTGCTTCCAGAGCTGATAGACCACATTTCTTTTAAGTCATTTTGTGACTTTGATCTGGAATTTGCCTGCTTCCATTTTTCCAATAGATCTTCATTATAAATTATTTGATAAACGACTATGTGAAGCCATTATGTCAGAATTTATTCAAAGTGTAATAAATTTTTAAACAATAACAGAGATAAGATGTGTCAACAGTGAGTGCTTATCAAGAATGATTAATAATTTGCATATTTTCAGGTGCACAAAATCAAAAGATTATGATAGATGAATTTGTAAGATAAATTTACATAGTGTTAGGAGTATTAAGTACTGGGGTTGGATGTCACGCCAACAGTTATCTCAATCAAAACTTCTTCCAAAACTTCAGACTATGAGGCGTTAAATATATTTAACGCCTCATAGTCTGAAGACGACGTGCATATTTATGTTGAAAGCGCTCGCAAGAATAAATTATTTTAAAATATATTTAACGCCTCATAGTCTGAAGTTTTGGAAGACGTTTTGATTGAAATTTACATAGGTCTTTTAATTTTGGTCATCTTAGCTTAAGTAATTTTAGTGTAATATTCAAAAAAGCATTTGCTCAGTTATAAATGTACAATGGAAAAAACCAAACCTGCACTGTGAAAACAAACATTTACAAATGTTTTCGTCTGTGTAGAAATAGACATCATCAGCTAAATGATATAGAATCAAACGGCTAATGGCTAATGAAAATCAAATGCTTTTTTAGATGTTCCAACTGATTATGTAATTAGAATACGTTGGGTTTAAAATTTCAAAATATGTATATTATGTAAATGATAAATGAATAAATAATCAATATTTTCACATTAATTATTATGACATAGATACACTATGCAATTTAAATCAACATTAATGTGCATTTGTGTCAGCAGAATCTAGTTCAAAAATGGCACACGATGCTGTGGACAGTATGTCTGTTTTCTTAAAGTTAATAGCGACTCCCTGCTTAATTGCTCTGTACATTTCAACGGCCTCCAGGTAACATTAAAAGTGCTCAGCAAGTAAACACATAAATTAAAACACCTTAATTTGTTGCTGAGAAATATATTTTAAACACAAACGTTTTCAACCTGATTAACAGGCCATCCTCAGGTCTAAAAAAACGAAAATGGAACAGATACGTTTCATGTATAGAATAATTCTCTTGTATATTTTTAAAAATTTTTGTTCTAAATTTTGATTTAAATATTTATATTCTATACATGGAACGTATCTGTTCCATTTTCGTTTTTTAGACCTGAGGATGGCCTGTTAATCAGGTTGAAAACGTTTGTGTTTAAAATATATTTCTCAGCAACAAATTAAGGTGTTTTAATTTATGGCCTCCAGGTATTTAAGTTGTACTCGTTCTGAAACCCTATGCAATAATTTTATGTCCTGCAGTTCAACACGTACGTCCTCACTACCTGCATATGTCGCTAGTGTCATAGTTGACAACTTTTTTCTAAATTAAATATTCATGCTTCTTCATCCTCATGGCCAGACCTCTCACTGTTGCTTTGATGTATATTAATGAGCAATTGACTCGTTTGTCAGAAACAGGTACTGAGTAAACCCCTGGAGACTAGGAGTCATGTATATTGCTTTTATCATATATTATGAGTGAAAAGATAGTTGGGGTGCGTCGATATGATAAGTATACCTTAGTAGTCTCTGTACATATTACAAAGTGTTTTGTTATATGTGATGACTTTCATTGGCTCTTCTTGTTGAATAGTTCTAGTTTTTTTACTTAGATATTGTTTTGTGAGGTGTTTGACCAAAGAGGACGAGTACCCATGTTGTTTTGCCAGGGCCTTGATCCACAACATTTTGTTTTCCTTTTCACTCTGCTTCGAACAATGTGTATGGGCTCTTTTTACCAGTGTTTGAAAATTGAAGACTTTCTACAAGAGTCATTCTAAAAGAAAAGAACGCTTTGATCTGACGAGCCACACAGTTCTTCCACCATCCCCCACTGCTGCGTCATGGACCTCATTTTTTTGCGCCAGCTGATGCTAGCTGCAATGATTTTTTACTGTTTATAGTGTGACTTTGAAATGTGGGAAAAATTAAAGATACTGCCAAGTGTGAGGTTCGTAGTGTAATATGCTTTTTGAATGCAAAAAAGTTTGACCTATCGAAATTTACAGACAGATAATCGAGGTATATGGTAATGTGATGAATAAAGCTTCAGTTCGAAGCAAACAATGGGGATTGCTGTCCAGAGGCATTCTGCTTCTTTAGGATAACGCATGTGCACATGCTGCTGCATTGATGAAGAACTTGCTTCAGCAGTTTAAGTGGGAAGTTTTTGAACATCTCCTTATAGCCCAGACTTGGCTCAGAGTGATTACCATCTTTTCCCAAAATTGAAGAATTTTTTGGCCAGGTATCACTATGGAAGTGACAATGAACTGAAAGAGGCCGTCAATGACTGGTTCAAGAACTTGGCGGTAACTGAGTGTACAGAAGGCATAGAAAAGCTGGTAATATGCTATGACAAATGTTTAAATTTGTATGGCAACTATGTAAAAAAAATAGCTAAGGTAACTAAAAAACACAACATCTTATTAATCCCAGCAATATTTAATAAGATAATAACGTTTTTGACTGTTTTAAACAGCCTTCATCAGTTAAACTATTTCAAACTAAAAGAATGCTTAAAATAGAATACAAGCTTTAAAAACTCAAATTCCAGCGTAAAACGCAGTCGCATAGTAGAAATGTACATAAATTGTGCATACGATTCGTATTGGAATAAAAATAAACATAATCAAATTTTTTTGCCACAATAATGCCTATTACAAGATTACCATTATGTGCTATGGTAAAATGATTTCCATGCAGTGGATAAACCATCCGCATCCCTATGGTTAATACAGCCCATGTTAATGTGGGCTTTGTAGATTTCCAGCTTCTCAAGATACTTCAGTGCTTGCTTGTTGTTCGTGGCCCTAATGATAGAGGCCTTGTCCCAATGCACGTTGACCTCCTGTTGTTTAGCGAATGCCGCGAGTACAGTGCTATCCAAGTTCTTAGTGATGGAGTATTTATGTTCCTTAATTCTCTGCATTAAATGTCGCATAGTTGCACCAACGTATAATAGATCCGAGTTAAATCAACGAACCTTTAAAGGTA